TGAATTGGTGCCCGCAGGCCTGATGTCCAAACTTGTAGACTGATACATGCATTCCTATAGAAACGCACTCTAAAAGCACATAGCAGACAAGTGAGAGCCAAAACACCCCTATGTTGGGGTAGGGTTTCTGTAATAACCCAACCCTCATATCTGTTTTTAGTATATTTTCGATCTGTTATTCTGTGCATTTACTTGCTTTCTGTGAAAAGTGATTTATATCTGTGGCATTTTTATTAGTGTATTTGGAACCTCCCTATTTTATTTTGGGCTATTGATTGTGGTGGTAATATGATGGTGAGGTAAGATTGGACCAAAAACTTTAATTCGAATAATTCGTCTACGATCAGCCGGCACTCTTTTGCCTTTTTCTTTCGTCACACTTTGAATTTGGATGTGAGGTTAGAACCATTGTAAAGCTTATTTTCGGGGCTTCAATTTGGGCACAAGAATGACCTAAAACGGAGTCCGGATGAGAGAGTTACGCCTGTTTGAAGTTTTCATATTTGTGCTGGAAGCAGGACCGCACGTGCGGGAAATGCGGCGCACGTGCGGCGATGTGCGGGGCAGCAGCTCAAAAACTTGATTTTTGAGTCATTTCTTAGATTTTCTTTTCCTCTCTTCTTCTTCTCTATTCCATGTCCGAAACCCTAGCTCCCAAAACCTTGATTTCCTCCACTTTTCTCAACAAATTAACCATGAATCTTGCATCAAGGATGGAGAATAAGAGGAGATCACCACTTTCTACCGAATGGAATTCCGAAATTTTTGAGGTATGTTGGGGTATGTTGGGGTTCTATTATGGGGTTTAGAGTATGGTTTGTGGGTTATGGACCTAGGGTGCCTAATAAATGAGAAGATTTGCAATCAAAAGTAATGGGTTAAGAAGATTTAAAATTTTATTTGAAATTTGTAGATTTCTTAGAAACCCTAGGTTGGTTTTTGATGATAATCCATGATTTGGCCCAAATTGATAGTTGAATCATGAAAGTGGTAGGTTGAATTAGATGTGTTCAAGTTTAATTGGAATTTGGTTATGTCTGAAAATTATGTTTAAATTTTGTGATTGAACTTTGTTAAATGCATTGTAAATTATGTTTTAATAAAAGGGAAATTGGGGGAAAAGATTTATTGATAATGTGGATGATATAAATTCGATTATGGAATGTTGAAATGGAATTTAAGAATTCCTTTTGAGATATGTTGAATTGTGATGATTATGTGGGATGGTATTGACTATGTTGATATTAATTGGAGGAGAGGTCACTGCTGTGAGCCCGTCCCTGCTGTGTCTGCTGTGCGGACAAAAGCGGCGCCGTTTCATGTGCTTTTGGTTTAACATGTATAATTTGGTTGGTTTGTTCTCTGTGATTGGGTTGGGAAAGATTTTCTTCTTTCTTTTTTATTTATTTATTTATTTTTGGTTTTGCCATTTAAAAAAAAATTTATTATGTATTTTTTTTAACATGTTATGTGTTTTTGTGACAAATATTATATAATTATTTGATAGAGTTAAGACAATTTGTGATTCAGAAATAAAGTTATGCATTTTGTGGTAATATTACTTATTTTATGATTAAAAAATGTTTGAATAAAAAAAAATGTAACCTTAAATTTTGAATCACAAATTGTCATAACTCATAAAAAAATAATATAACATTTTTGACAAAAATACAAAGCATATATAATTTTTTTTTGCTAATAACGGTGTATATGGTTCACACTGGACCAAATATTATGTCATTTTTTGATGAGTTACGGCAATTTATCATTTAAAAATTAAGGTTACATATTTTTTAACTATAAAATATGTAACATTATCATAAAATGCATAATTTTACTTCTGAATCACAAATTATTGTAATACTATCAAAAAAATTATATAATATTTACTACAAAAATATATAACATGTACAAAAAAATTACATAATAAATAAATAAATAATTCGCAAAAAAAAAAAGAAAAAAAGAAAAAATGAAAGAAAATCTTATAGCATACAATTGTGTTTTTCCTAACCCATTCACAAACAACAAACCAAACCATCATACTTGTTTAATAAATAAAAAAACATCAAAAGGCGTCGCTTTTGTTTGCACAACAGACATAGCAGGGAAGAGCTCACAACAAACCAACCAAATTATACATGTTAAACCAAAAGCACATGAAACGGCGCCGCTTTTATCCGCACAGCAGACACAGCAGGGACGGGCTCACAAGAGTGACCCCTCCTCCATATTAATTTTTGTGGCCTAAAATGTGAAGTTTTCAAGAATGGGTTTAATCTCAAATCATTTTACTAAATATTTGTGGGCTTGATTAATTATTAAATCAAGAGAATGATTTAATAGGATTTCTTATGGGGATGGGGAAATGTTTGGTTTTTAGTGGAAACACTAGAAATTTAAGGAGTTTTGGGGAATAACCTGAGAAGGACAAGCACTCCGTTATAGCACTGTGAGTAGTATTACCATTATCTGCTTCATATATATAGCTAATGATTGTCATTAACACCTTGTTTATACACGATATGTAATTACGTTATGTTTTGATGTGTGTATATAAAGAAATGAGGAAAAATGAAGTGTTTTCATTCTTTAAGATTATGGGCCTTTGGCCATACGATGGAAGTAACTACGTTATGAAACAAAGTGCTACACGGGACTAAGTGCTACATTGTGAGTCACCGCTAGAACCCGTGTGAGACACCTCTTGAGTTCATACAAGAATTTACAAAGGCATTCTTAATGCCAATTTACAAGGGCTTAACGCCAATTTACAAGGGCATTCTTAATGCCAATTTACAAGGGCTTAACACCAATTTACAAGGGCATTCTTAATGCCAATTTACAAGGGCTTAACACCAATTTACAAGGGCATTCTTAATGCTTTATGTCACCTTTCAATGGCTTTATGCCACCTTCCAAGGGCTTTATGCCAATGTTTAAGGGCTTTAAGCCACCTTTCAAGGGCTTTATGCCAATGTTTAAGGGCTTTATGCCACCTTTCAAGGGCTTTATGCCACCTTCCAACGGCTTTATGCCAATGTTTAAGGGCTTATGCCACACCATTCAAGGGCTTTAAGCCAACCATTATGTTCAAGCTGATATGTTTCAAGAAAGGGCCTATAAAGTGAAACAGTCTCAGACAAATCATGTGGATTTTGCATTGTATGCTTAAGTATATGTTTTAAAGTTTGATAAGCATATGTTTCAAAGATTGATAAGTATATGTTTTAAAGTTTGGTAAGCATATGTTTAAAGATTGATAGGTATATGTTCTGAAGCTTAGTAAGTATGTGTTTTGAAGCTTAGTAAGTATATGTTTTGAAGCTTGGTAAGTATCTAAGGGCCTTGCGCCACTATGTTAATGGGCTTCGTGCCACCATGATTAAGGGTTTGTGCCACATTATACAAGGATATTAATCCAAACCATTATATTCAAGCCAATATGTTTCATGATAAGATCTAAGTCTATAATGAATAAGAACAGATTCAGACTCGCATTGTGAATGCTGCATTAGTATACGAAAGTACATGTTTGAAGCTTTGAATACCAGGTTGGAACTTTACTTGGCATTGTAGAATTTCAGAAATTGCATGGTCCGCTCAAGCGGAGACCCATTTTCAGGAACATTTGAAAAGTTGTATTTAGTTCGTATGTCTATCCTCACTTATTTCCAAAGCATATTAGGCACAATTTATGGTTCAATAAATATTGAGATGTTATGCATCCATGTGTATTTCTATTATACAATGTTTCAAGTTAAGCAGTATTTTATTTATGTATTACTATTCACTGAGCTTGGCTCACCCTCCGTATGTCTGTTCCTGTAGGTAACCAACCAGGACGTTCGTCTCCTTTTGTCAACCTTTACGAGTCCAGGCACTAAGCGAGATCACTCAGTTTTGTGAAGCTTTGTTAAGACATTGTCTTGTTTTTTTTTTATTACTCATTTAAGGTTAAATGTACATGACTTCAATGTTTTTGCATATGCCCAATCTTAGGGTTGGGGCTGTATATGTATATCTATATGACTGATGCTCACAGTATAATTTTGGCATGTGACTGGTTATTATAATGTATATGATGCATGTGATCCTGGCATATTAGAGGTAGCTCAATGGAGTTTGTTATTATGTTAAATTTTAGTGCTTCCGCCAAGGCCCCATATATTACGTATAGCAGGTTAAGTGTCCGTTTTTGTATGGGTCGTGCCCGAACTTTTAGGGGCGAGTTTGGGGCGTGACAATATATATATATATTTTGGAGATAGAGATATGGCAAAATAGAAAAGTCAGATAATTGAATTTTATGTCGGTGTAGGCCTGCT